ATTTTAGAATGCCCTACAGGCATCCCGTGTTCATAGGGCATCCCATACAGCATTTCAAAGGGTGATATTCCGGTCTCTGAGTGGGGCAGGGTTCTAATATTTAGCAGGGCTAGAGGGAGGCATTTTACCCAAGACATTTCTGTTTCTAATACCCAATTAGGGTTTGATTCATTCGCTCAACCTGTCCAGAAGTCTGAGGGTGACACAGGGTATGGTACTCCCATCGGATCCTTAAAGCTTCAGTCATTTGTTTTATCACCCTAGAAGTGAAGTGTGTGCCTTGATCCAAATCTATGTATTTTACCAGTCCATACCAGGGCACAATTTTCTCGAGCAACAATTTAGGCACCACTTGTGCAATAGCCCTGGAACTTGGAAATGCTTCCACCCAGTGAGTCAGTTTGTCTACTATTACTAGCAGACACCTGTACCTACCTGCCTACCTTTGTTAGATAGGTAAAATCTACCTGGATCATCTCAAAGGGTCTGTATGCTCTGGTGTCACTGCCCATTTTCTTTACCCTGGAGGGTTTCCCTTGGTATCTTCTTGACATACGGCCAGCATCAGGGAAACAAATCAGTTAATCACCTGCCATCAATGGGTGATAAAAGGCTTTTCTTCGGCAGCGAAACCAAAGGAGTCTGACTCCGTCTGGCTTGGTTTTTTTAACTCTGAAACTTAAAAAAAAATACAATTTTCTATTCATAACACTAGTGGTCGGCTCCCCAGTGCTACTTGCCTGGCTCGGCTCTGATTCACTTTTTGGCATATCATGCACCCTTGTACCTCCTGTTTTGCCAATTCATATATCCCTTTACACCCACAGAATTTTAAAAATTGTTCTGCTAAAGCCTGGGCCCCCCCAATGAGTTTGTGAATGTAACCTTCTCAAAATTTTCCGAGAATATTCCTTTGATAATAATTCCCTTCCATGTGGTAATTTCCACTTACCTTCATCTAATTTTCCTCCGATCTTTTCATACCCCTCAATTTCCTTTTGAGAGAATTGTGGAGGATACTCCCAAATCTCCCCCTCACAAATCTTTGGAGTGCTTACCTGCAGTAGTGCCACGTTTTTAGTTTCCTGATCTGCAAAATTGTTTCCCCTGCTTTGGAATTGTGCTCCCATTTGGTGTCCTTTTACATGGACTACAGCAATTGCTTCTGGCCCTCGGATAGCCTGTAGAATTTGTTTTATTAATTCCCCATGCATCAGCCCCCTCCCTTTTGTGTTAATTATACTTCTTTCTTCCCAAATCTTACCAAAAGTGTGAACCACCCTGTAGGTGTACTTTGAATCTGTGAAGATAGTCCCCTTTTGACCCCTTAGTCTCCGTAAAGCCCTTAGTACTGCATACAATTCACATGCCTGTGCCAACCACCCCATGTTTAGAGGTCCCAATTCCACCGTCTCCCCGGTTACCCCATTTGTTATGGCATACCCTGACTTCCTTTTTCCCTCAATAACCCTTGCAGCTCCATCTACGAACCATTTTCCCCCTCCTTCTAATTCTTCTTCTTCTAAGTCAGGTCTTATCTTGGTTTGTAATTGTACAATTTCAGCACAATCATGAGTGGGTTCCTCCAAAGTTTCCCCTTATATAAACTGAGCTGGATTCGGAGCTGCCATAGTTCTGACCTCCAGGTCGTGAGAGTGTATTATGATAGCTTTGTATTTAAGAAGTCGTGCGTCAGCGAGCCACGTTTCAGCCTTTGTCTATAAAATGCTCCTCACATTGTGAGGAGTATACACTACCAAAGGTGCCCCAAAAGTTATCCTTTTGGCTTCTTCTGCTAACACAGCCATGGACACGATAGCTTGTAAGCACGTGGGCCATCCCCGACTGACAGGATCCAAGAGCTTAGATACATAACCCACAGGTTTCTTTGATCCCGCCCAATTTTGGGCTAGTACCCCGTATGCGGTATGATTACTTACGTCCAGAAACAGCTGAAAGGGTCTCTATGTCTGGCAGGCTCAGCACTGGAGCTACTATGAGAGCCTCCTTTAATTCTCTAAATTCTAAATCTAGAATTTAATTTAATTCTCTAATTTTTTTTTCATCTGGGTCAACCCATTTAGGTTTGTCTGTGGTTAGTTTTTCATATAAAAATTTTACTTTCTCACTGTACCCCTCGATCCATTGTCTTCAGAACCCCAGAAACCCAAGTACTTGTCTTACCTCCCTTTTTGACTGAGGGGAGGGTAATGCAATGAACCCCTCCACCCTGTCAGGGTCTAGCTTTTTCTTACCTTTCACCAACCAGTGCCCTAAATATTTCACCTCGGGCTCTGTGAATTGCAGCTTAGACTTTGAAACCTTTAAGCCTTTATCCCCCAAAAAGTTTAGGAGAGCTATTGTGTTTGTTCTTACCCCATCTTCATCAGGACCTGCTATTAATAAGTCATCCACGTATTGTAATAGTTTTGTTCCCTCCGAGGGACAAACTCACTCAATAATTGCTTGAGAGCCTGACCAAACAGGTTCAGCGAATCCACAAACCCTTGAGGCAGGGAGGTCCACCTAAGTTGTTGTTTACGGTTGTCTCTGTGTCCTCCCATTGAAATGCAAAATAGTCCCGACTCTCCTTTGCTAGAAGACAAGTCCAAAAGACAGCTTTCAGGTTTATTATGCAATACCAGATATCATTCGGTGACATATTATTGAGGCGAGTATAGGGATTTGAGACGGTGGGAAATAAGGTTTTTGTTCGCTGGTTAACAGCTGTTAGATCCTGCACCAAGCGATAACTCCCATCCGGTTTATGGACCGCAAGAATGGGAGTATTATGTCTAGACATACACGGCTCCAAGGTGCCCTTTTTTATCAGATCCTCAATTATTGGTTTTAACCCCCACCCTCCTTCCATGGGTATTGGATATTGTTTGACCGTAATAGGGTCTTCTGGTTTCTCAATTTCTATGTGTATAGGTTCCATTTCCAACTTCCCCGCCTCCCCCTTTGTGTGCCACACTTTAGGGTTTATTTTTCCCTCGTCCTCAGCAGTGAGTTTATACAATCTTACCATCAGATGAGAGTCTTGTGCAATTAGACTAATACCCAAATTCACCATTAAATCCCTCCCCAGCAAATTATAATCTGCTTCTTCTACCAACAGTAGATTTCCCAAACACAATTTATTTTCAGACTCGATTTCCACATCTTTAATTACCAGTGCCTTGATTACCAGTACTGGCGTAGTCCCATAGTCGTGCATACTCCCTTTCCTCGTTTGTTGACCCCTCTTCCTCCAATGCCCGACATGTTTCCTTCTCAAAAGTCCCAAACATAGGCCAAAATAAGTATTTCTTGACCTCCACATGAGCCCATTTCTCCACAAAATAATATATCATTCTCTCCTTAGACCTCCCCCTCCTTGTGGGGCAATCCTCCCAATGTTCCAACATCCACCCCAGAGGACTGTTTCTTGGTATATCAGGGGTACAATATTTTTCCACCTTTTCTGGTTTCCCCTGGGTTTTCCCTTGTAGTTTACTCTTTTTCAGTCCCACGTTTCTTAATCTTGCTTACCTTTTTCCTTTTTGGGTAGATAGGCTCCCAAATCGATCTGTTTTCCTTTTATGGGTACAATCCTTGATTCTTAGTTAAAAAAAATTTTGCCGACCAAATCATAAAGTCATACAGTGAACTGATCTGTACACTTTTGATCGACAAAAAGAGCTCTCTTACCTTTTCTCTGGATCCAGTGATCTTCTGTTGTTCCTGGTCATCGATGGACCTTTGTCCTCTCTCTGATCCAGCCCGTGATTGAAAAACACCCCCCCCCCCATTTCCTCCACCAGTTCCCAGGATTTGGGGTTGGTGTGTGTGTTTTTAACAAGTTTTTCACCCGCTTCCCCCGCGACCGACCACTTTCCTTGTGGAAGAGTGGAACTGCGATCTTGGGGTCCACACTCGCTTCGTGATAATATCACGTCTCACACACACAATTGATCACACCCCACTCAACCGCACGATACTTACGGTCCTTTTCCCGTGAGGAATCTTCGTGCACGTAGTTTTATGAATGAAAAAAATTGCCGGCTTTGGACCTCAGGGCCCGTTTTTAACCTTTCAATTGTGGGTTTTGGCTAATAGTTCATGTTATCTGATTGGTTCCGTTGGGCTTTTCCCAATCCTGTCCGGCCGCTGAACTCAGCGGGGCGCCGCCTGGACCTGGAGAGGAGACCCTGGAATCCGATATCAGATCACGTCGGGCTAGGTCACCAGGATTGTTATAGGTAGTTCTAGGATTAAACCCTGGTCCCCCCCTTAACAACGTTTCATACATGTATTTATATTTCATAGGCACAAATTTCTACCATATCCCTAACATTTTCCATCCAGGTTTTTGCATGGCTGCTGTGTCGTCTTGGCATCTTCGTCTTGCCTCCTGCACCTAGTCCAGAAATACATCCCATCTCACCTCAAACCCAGGGATTTGCTGTCCTTGGTGGCTGCTGTGACATCTCCAATAGTCAACTGAAGGCTCCCTGGGGATGGTCACCCAGGCTGGAAGCACATAAAAGACGAAGATCTGCCTTTGTTCACAGCACAGGCAGGCTGAAACAGACTTTCCTCCCTCTCCAACACACATCTTTTGGTCATTAAACCAGTTGTTGAGGGTTTGGTTTCTTTCCTTTTTCTTTTACTTACAGATTTTATTTTTCCCCATAAGTTGCTAGGAAACTAACTACTGGGTACTTATGGATACTTATGGGTCCTTAAGAAAGACAAAAGACTGCGTCTGAAGTCGGGAGAGGAATGGAGCATCTGGCTATAGCTTTTTTCTCTTGGGGAGTCTCTTTCTGAGGACCAGAGATACCACGAGAATGGGGGCAGGTGGAAAAGACGGGGCTGGGGCGCAGCTGGGTGCTCTTGCTCTTTGGCATCCAAGGAGGACGGCCAGGCTGATGATTACTTCAAAGGAGAATTCACCGGCGTCGCCAGAGTTCAGACTTGACGGACTGATCACCATCTGCTCGTGTGCCCTTCTTTCAGAAGCTGGACCCCACCATATGGGGATACTCCTTTCTGAGATACATCCTGAGAAAAACTAAATCACAATAGTGTATAGAATTGTGACATAAAAATTTGGAACAGAAACTGCTGAGAAAGCTTATGAGTACCCCTATAAATATCTGTAAGTCCCAACTACTGGCGTGCAGTTGGAGGGAAAATTTCCCCCACTGTACCCAGTGCTGTATTGCCCATACTTTACCATCTTAATTAATAAACTGATTGCTTCTTGAATATTGGCTTAGTCAAGCCTCTCATTTATAACACTGGGAATCCTTAACTTTGCCTCTCCCTGCCCTGTTCAGAGCCAGGCAGTTGTTTTTTCGGTCCGGCTCTGGGTTTCTCCATGCTGTAGCCGGCACCGTCCCTGAGTTCCAGCTACCACTGTGGAACTTCTAATACATCTATCCACCACCCCGGGATTTTTTTGCTCATTTCTGCCAGCTGTGACGGTAACTGCACCAAAGGGGAAAGTGCCAGCATCCAAGATGGCTTTTACTGGGTCCCTGGTTCTGTTTGTTGTTAATGTCATAGTTACTGTTTTGTTTGCCTTGTTATACATACTAGTAAAGAATTGTTATTCCTATCCTCATATCTTTGCCTGAGAGCCCCTTGATTTCAAATTTATAATAATTCGGGGGGAGGGGGTTTACATTCACCATTCCAAGGGAGGCTCCTGACTTCCCTAGCAGACACCTGTCTTTCAGACCAAGACACCAATTTAATGAGCAGTATTGAGATTTTGGGTCATACTTCTTTCTTGCTTTCAGCCAAATCCCTGTGAAATAACTGTCCTGTCATTTTTAAAATAGGCAGTGTTATATTTGCCCAATTATCCCATCAAAAAAAAAAACCCAAACAAAAATGTAACAGCAATTTTAATTAAGTAACTTAAAATATATAAAATTGAATACACTTGAAATATTGACAATGTAATTTGGTTAAAATAAAAAAAAATTTGGTTCTGATAACAGCACATAAGCAAAAATAACCGTGTGGGGTATGCAGTGCAGGGCTTGACCCCCGCCACCTCACGAACAAGCCTGCCAAGCCAGAATTCCCTCTTTTATGCTGTATGTCATCACCATCTCCTCCCATTTTCGATTTGTCACACTTTGTATCTCCATCCTCATCACCTTTACCAGGCATGCTCCACCATTCTTTTAGGGGGTCGTACCACTCTTTGGGGGTCTTCTTTGAGGAAGGCCTCTTCTCTTCCTCGGTGTCCTTTAATTCACCTTTTGGATTACACATGCACACCAAGCTGGTATAGTATAAGCCAATATTATGTTCTAACATTAAAGCAATAAATCTCATATAATTAACATTTTCCTGGTGTCCAACCAAATTCTCTCTTTCAACTAAATTTAGTAATAGTTATCTCTTGCTTCTTCCTGTTCTAAACATCTGCAGGAGAAAGTGGGGGAGCCCCTCCTCTCCCTTTCTTTCTTGGCATTACACCTTTAACTGTTTCATTAATTAATTAGTATCAATATTGATTATTGTTTCAATTCTGTCAGCACGAATCATACTTATTTATTGCAGCAGAAATGAGGGAAAAGGGAAAATGACCCCCACACATATTCATGCAGAAGGGCTTTTGTCACACATCTGAGAAATGGCTGAATTTGATGGTGATTTTAATAATTCTTATTCACTGTCCTGCCCCTACAGCATCTACTGAATCCTCTCTAGTTCTCTGAGATTATCCCATTTCAGAAAATATATTTTTTCCCTTCCATCCACACCAGTTTTTTTTTAGTAAAATATTTGCTGAAGTTCAAGGTTTGGGTTTTGTCAGCACTTTTTAAACACATGGTTGTGACAAACCTCATAGTTTTGACAAACCAAAGTTTTTTGACAAACCCAAGAACTGATTTTCACTGTCACTAACCCAGGAAAGGAGCTTAATAATTTGACCACTGATATGTGGTGTCGTGGGCTGGAGACAGACACATGACACACTATGGAGAGTCACCAGCAAAGAGCATTGAGCTTAATATGGCTACCCTGCTTATAGGGCGTTTGAATCTCCCAGCTTAGACAGCTGATTGGATGGGACCTCTCTCCCCCCCAGTTCTCTGGCCAGTGATGTATCTGCATCTAAGCTTGAACAAGGTTGGCTGAGGTCTTTGTTAGTTTTTTCCAGAATGAGCCAGGTCAGCCGAATTGGATTTGTTATGGCTAGATTTACTTTGTTCAGCTACAGACTAGCTGTGCTGTGACAGACTGACTACTCCTAGCTCTGCTCCTCTACCTGCCTCTTTTCACCCCCAAAAAGGTTTCAGTTGGGGATTAACAAGGTGGATTAGTTTGATATATCATAAACTGAGTGTTTAGACAGAACAGAAAATAGAAATACACCTATTTTATAGGTGTTGCCAAGACCATGGAGGTACAGTTTTGTATCACTTGGGGTCACACAGTATTTCATGTGTCACAGATGTCCAAGAACCATAAATTCTTGATCTGTAAAGATTGGAAAATGAAGGTTCACAAGCCCTTCTGAACATTTTTTGCCTTAATTCATTGCTACATTCCAAAGCATTAGACTTGCCATATGCCAGAATTCTGGGAAAATAGAATAACTCAAAGCCACAGGAATCTCACACATCAGGCACCTGGGCATCCCTGCAGAGCTGAAGGATTTGCCAAGATTTGTGTTTTGCCAAAATGTCCACAGTAAAATGCTGCAGACGATTATCTAGAGGAAAAAAAACCAAAAAACCCCAAAAATAAAAACAAAAAACCCACCAAAAACCAAAAAATCAAAACACAACAAAGCCCAAACCCACCCTAAAAATCCAACTCAACTATGCACCCACAAATGGAAATGAGAGATGAGGGTGAGCGGTGGCAGAGCCATGAGGCACAGGTGAGCCCAGGGATGCTCAGAGGATGCTGTAACACAGATCCTGTGTAATCCCCAAACAGTAGGGGATTAGAGAACAAACCTGAAGTTTTTAGGGCAGCTCCAAGTGACAGACAGCTAGGGTGCTGCTACTCAGGTTCAGAGGTACTTCCTTGGGTGCTGACTGCTGCAGGTTTTCACTTGTTTTCTGCTTAATGGGGAAAAAAAAAACGTCTTAATTACCAGCCAAAGAGGTTCATTATCAGCCTGGCATTCCAGCTCCTTTCTTTGGCACCTTCCAACCCTCTGAACTCAGGTATCACTCTTGGATCTTACGCCATTCCAGTGCCTTAGGCCACTCATTCTTAGGCAGTAATTGAAAGGTCTAATAAAAAACTGGTTATTTGTCCAGGACACATAGTCCCCCACCTGGGGAGAGTTCCCAGCAGGTTTCCATTGTTTTCCTCATGTGACATTTTTGGGGAGGCTCCCTTCCCAGCCTATGACTGCTCTAACTGCAGGGATGCCCATCATGTCTCAGAGCACAAAACCCAGCTGACGTACTGTGGACAAACCTTAAATAGCCCAGCACAAGCTCCAGCTGATGCTGCGTAACCCTGACTCCATTAGATGAGTCAGGATCCAATCCCATCAGCACTTAAAAGCCTTCCAGACCTACATCCCTTATCCCAAATCATCAGCAACAAAGAGATTCTGTCATCACCCCTCTGCAACAAGGATGAGCCTGCAGTGAAGGTAATGCTCTCCATAAACACCTTTTACTATCAACAAGGTTTAGAGCTGATTTTTCCCAGCATTAAGAATTTATTTCTCTTCCTTTTTCTTGATTATATAACTGAAGTGGCTGAACAGATTTTCTTCAAAGGCTCCAAAACAGCTGGACTCTAGCAGAAACAAATAAGGCTCTGGGGAATTAGCTCAGAAGGGAGCCTGGGGAATTAAAAAAACTTATTGTAAATTGAGGTCTAAGAGACTGACCACTTGGAGTGAAGCTGATGGAAGTGCTCAGAGATGATGGCAGAGTGATGCCTTTACCACCAGTGACATCCCAAGAGGGGATGTGGGGGGAGATTGGGCACATTGGGTGTGGGGACAACCCTCCTTCCCACCTTTGCCCCACAGGGAGCCTGTGCCATGCCAGGATGGGCAGCCTCTGGCTGGAGGTACTAAACCTGGTGATGATGAGTTATCATTTCATGGTAATTAACCCATGTAGCTCAGAAACTCATCTGGGTCTTGCTAATTAAGACCAGATGAGTTTCTGAACCCCTGTCCAAAGGGTTGTTGCAGTGGTTGCAGTAAAATATTTGGTATTTTGGGTCGCAAAACATGACAAAGTAGGATTCCTGCCCAGGATTTGCAGATACAATGTCCCCTGTTCATACCTTGGGCACAGCTCCCCCCTCTGCAGAGTCCCTTCATCTAGGAATGGAAAACATCCATCTAGGATGGAAAACAAATGGTGCCATCCCTTCTCCTCTGTGGAAAGCCTTGGCAGCTCCTCAGGGCACCCACACCATGTCCCAGCAGCCTTTGTTCCCCTTGGAATGGGAGTTATATCTTTGGGCTTGTGCTTAAGATTAGGACACCTTCATGGGACACTTTCTTGTGCTCCAACCTGGATGTTCAACACCTCATAGCTTTTCTTGGAGAAAAACAAAAGTAAGAAAAGGCAGAGGGTGTACCCACCAAGTCATATGGCAGGGATGGAGGTCCCTAGAAGTTCTCTGGAGACATGCTTGGGTCACAGATTTTTGTACCAGCAGATATTTGACAGTGGTTTCCAGCAGCTCTTGATTGCCAAAGGGCAAGTACTGCTGGTCGGCATCTTTTATTTGGAAGAGAGGGAACCAATGTGGGAATGTATCCACTACAAAATTACTGTGTGTCTAAAAGCTCCCTCTATATGTAAAGCTGGTGGCCCAACCTTGGCTGAAGATATTAGAGCATTTTGACAGCAAGTGAGCACTGTGAGACAGGACCCAGATGACTCCTAGGTATCCAGAGAATGCCTGGCCTCGGTGGCACTTTGTCTTGTAAGTAAGATCGGGTGTCTGGAAGCAGCCAGAGCAAGCAGAGTTGGTGAACATCTCTGTGCTCTTTCAGGTCCCCCCATGACTGCAGCCCTGCAGATGACAGCATTCGGGCTCACTCTTCTCTCAACACTCTTCCTACTCCTGGCCACGTGCACGGACTGCTGGATGGTCAATGCTGATGACAGCTTGGAGGTGAGCAGAGAAATCACCTGGAAGGTGAGCAGAGTAGCCACCTTTAAGGTGAGCAGAGCACCATCATCCTCAAGATGAGCAGCTGAGAGCAAGGTGGGTGCCTTGCCATCCATGAGGTTGCACAATGTCTCCACAGGCTTGGAAAAGTGGCGTGGTGGGACAAACCCACTGCTTTTTGAGTTGAAGGATTAGACTACTATAGAGATAGAGGGATGGAGCAGGAGAAAACAGAGAGCAGGTATGGGCAAGGAGTCACCAGGACCTGTCCAGGTGTAGTGGTGGGAGCCTGAAATCTGCCCTGCTGGGCTGGGAGATCCATGGGAAGCTGGGGAGACCCTGATGCTTTTTTCATGAGTGCCTTTCTCCTGCCTCCAGATAAGTCACAAATGCCGGGGCCTTTGGAGGGAGTGTGTCACCAACATGCAGGACGGGGTCAGGACCTGTGACCAATATGACTCAATTCTGGCTGACCACCCAGGTGAGCTGACCTGGCCTGGAGGTATTTATTAAGTTCACATCTCAGAGTCTTCTTGAAAGGGAAGAGGAAAAGTGATTATCAGTGCACCAAGCTGCCCTTTGTCAGTCAGCCACACCAGCTTAGGGCTGCTCTTGGTCTCCTGCCCCAATAGCCTGGTCTTTGCAGAAACTTGGCAGTTAGACCTGCCTGTGGGGTCATCAGGCAGGAAGGATCCTGTGAAGCTGTGCTGCCTCACAACAAACATGCTCGAGCATGTAGAACCTAGGATTTGCAACCCACTATGCTGCAGGCAGAGCAAGGACCGTTCCCACTGGCCAAGGACTCATGCCCACAGATCAGAGACAGTCACATCAGGGTAAGGACATTTCTTCTGGCCTGTACAGGGCACACCAAGCCCTGCAGAGAGAACCTTTTTGTTGGGTAATGACATGGAACAACACAGATACAGGGAGTGGAGAGGAAAGTAGTTGGTATGGACTAAGCGGGTGTGCCACATTGCTCTGTGGAGAAGGGAGCTTTGCAGGGCACAGTCCCATCACAGCTGGTGATATGATCCATGCCAGCTCTAGTTTTTCACTGGTATATTGACATCTGCTGTTTAAAACACCTGCTACACAACTTGGAAGAAAAAACAGTGTAGGCAGCAGTGTCTTCTGCTCAAGAATGGCTGGAGCAGGCAACCACATACCAGGTGCTATACCAGGTGATGGGTATACCTTGAGTTGTTTGGTTTCTTGAGCTGGCCTAATGATGGGTTTAAGTTCTTATTAAGTTTCTGACGAGCTTGTTGAGCACCTTCCCTTGGCCCATGGAAGGCATGGGGTTGATGGATTCCAGTGTGATGACCAGTGGTGAGCTGGGTGACTCAAAAAGGACATGGACAGAAATCTGAAGTGGAGACACCTGTTTCTCTGATAATTCCTCATTCCCATTTATGGTTGTTTTTAACTTTCCTGCCCAGTGAAGATTGTGGTGACACGGACCCTGATGATCACGGCAGATCTTCTGGCTTGCCTGGCTTTGGCTACACTGGTCTTTGGGCTTGACTGCATCACATTCCTCAAGGAAGATCCTTATGTCAAAATGAAGATGTGCTATGGAGCTGGAGTCATACTCTGCGCTGGGAGTGCGTGGCTGGGAGAGCTTTGGAGCAGACAGACTTCATGTCCCACAGGGAGCTGGGGAGCATGCTGGGAGCTAGTGGCACCCCTTCAGCAGGGCTTGGGGCGTATGGGATGTTGTATGGTTGTTTTTAACAAGCCCCATTCCTCCTAGGCATCCTGGGGCTCATAGGCTCCGTGTGGTATGCAGTGGACGTCTACGTGGAGAGGGCCATGCTGGTGTCACACAATATATTCCTGGGAGTCTACTATGACTTTGGGTGGTCATGCTGGCTGGGGATGGCTGGCTCCATGGGCTGCTTTGTGGCATCTGTCCTGCTGACCTGCTGCCTCTATGCCTGCACAGGTCAGTCTGTCTCATTCCACCCCATCCTATGTCAAGTAGCTTTTTGCCTTGCAGGGATAAGGGGTGAAGGAGAAACTCAGAGGGCACAGAGGCTTCTTGCAGGGTCCAGCCTAACCAAGGGGGACGCCTCTGTGCCCAACCCTGTGCCCTTTGGCTGGGAAGGCTACACAAGGCAGAACAGGGCTGAGTGAGAGGCCCCATAAACCCTATAAGGGCATGAAGAGGGTGCAGGGATCCATCCACATCTGTGGGCCTCCAGGTCCTGGTGAAGGTGTGCTGATGTTTACTCAAAGCAGCAGCTGTGCTGGAATCCCTGTCATCAGCCAAAGCCTGAGACAGTGGCTGCAGGGATGTACTGGTTGAAATACAGCCCCCTCATCAGGGACACTGGGCAGGTGATGCCTCCCCAGAAGTCATCTCCAATCCTTATGCCTGGTCTCAAGGGAAGTTAACCCTGCTGGCTGTCTGAGTTAATTTCTCCTGCTGTGTCCCCATGCTGTGGCAGTCCCAAGTCACCCTGCAACTGCCAGCCATGACACAACCCCAACTCTTTCCTGGTAGCTCCCAGCAGCCACTGTCAACTCCAGAGACATCTCCAGCCCCGGGGCACCCAGACAGCCACCAGCAAGATGTACGCCATGGATTCTCGTGTGTGATGGCCAGCAGCACCTCCTGCACCTAGCCCTGATATGGGACACTCTCCCTGTCAGTCTGACCCCATTAAAGCACTAGCACCTGTACTGAGACATTTCTGCAGCTGCTTCCAGCCTCTGACATAGCCAGCTGACTGCTAAAAGCAAAGGTACTGCAGCAGTCAGCCAGGGAAGGGTTTTTCCTCCACTTCCAGCCAGGTGTCATGAAAATAAATCCCAGAAAAGTATTGCTTTAAGGAAAGATTACCCTGTTGCCTGGGAAAGCTGTCAGGACACTGAAGGCAGAGTAGCTCCTCTGACATTGCTCAGCCCATGCTTTGGGGGAATTTAGTGGGAAGTCTTTTCCACACGGAGCAGCACTGACTCCATGTGGCTGATAGCCCTCCCACACCAGCCCCACTGGAAACCTTCCCTGGGCTCGGATTCAGGGTGGCACAAGGCTTGTGCTCAAAAACTGAGTAAAACCAGGACTCTGGAATACTTAGTTATCCATGTTTTCATGGGGGATCATGAAGGAACACCAAAGCCGTACACACCAGACACAAGGAGGTGAGTCAGTCTAAAGCCTGATGGAGATGCTCTGTCAGCAGAGTGTGGTTTTCAAGTTCACACAAAATGGGAATTCTCTTTTGGAAATGAATTATTAATCTATCAGCATTTGTAAACCATTATGAAAACAAACCAGAACCTGAAACCACCAACTCAATCCCCACCATCCTTAATTACTGAATGTTGGTTGTGGCCTCATTCCTTTCTCACCCCAAGCTAAGCACACAGACACCAATTGCAGCACAGGGAAACCAAGCAGAAGCTCCTCAGCACTGTCACCCTGAGAGAAGGAAGGCCAAGCACCAGGCCCGAGCAGATGGTGTTGCAGGGGCACAGCCAGTCCCCAAAACAGATAGGTGTGAAGACTTGCAGTCCCAGTCCTGCAGCCCAGGCAGGCTGCAAAGCACCTGCATCCAAAACCTAGAGCTGTAAGGGTCTTCTTGAGCCATCTGCCCCCTCACATGAAGCCAAAAGGCAGCAAAGCTGTTGTTTATTGCAGCTTCTCACACTTCTGCAAGATGGAATGTCCGGGGCAAGTCTGTCCATTTTCCAGGACCCCAGGAAAGGAGAAAAATCCAAACACTGAGTGACAGGAAGGGGCAGAGATGAGATTGTGCTGTCAAACAGCAGTGTCTGGATGGCAGAATGCTCACAGATGGCACAGCCAGGAGATGGGCAGGTGCATTAGCAGGTGCTTGGAGACAGCAAAGCCTGGAGCACTAGGATTGTTGGGACACCTGGGGTGATTGGGACACTGGAGCCCACAGGAAAATTATTAAGAGCACAGAACTCACTAGTAGTATGTGAAAGGTCCCAAAAGCTGCCATTGGACATCGACCCCCCCCTGCAGGTGCTCTGCAGTGGTTCTAACAGGTGCTGTCAGACCAAGGCACAGCTCTGAGCTCCATGCTGAGGGAGCAGCCCCTACTTACCAGGTTCTCACCATGGCAGTGGGGTGCAGCCAAGGCCAGTTTTGTCATAAGGCACAGCTCCTTGTCCATGCTTCTGCACCCAGCTGGCTCTGCAGTGCACTCATGCAGCAATTGTGCTATAGCACAGCCCCAATGACAAGTTTGGGATATTTTAGGTATCTAGAACCTGGCACAGGCTGCCCCATCCCTGGAAGTGTTCAAGGCCAGCCTGGACAGTGATTGGAGTAACCTGGTCAAGTGGAAGGTGTCCCTGCCCCACTGAGAGGGCATGGGATGAAGTGAGCTTTAAGGTTCCTCATTCCTCCAACCCAAATCAATGTCTGATGTTACCATTTTTGGGGGAGGGTTCCCCTTTTTTTTTAAGCACCCTCACACCACCTCAGGTCTGCAAGTGCTGTATTCTACCAAGGACACAGCCAAGCTGTACCAACAGCTCCTGGAAACACACTGGGCTAGCGCTAGAAACTCCCACCCCTCTGTGCCTGCCCATCATTCTCCGATGTGACTCGACTGCACCTTCATTGGTTTTTTTATTTCAACTTTTGTGCTTTACTCCACCAGCCTGTATGCCCAAAGAGTAAATCAGTCATTTTTTTCCCAAACCTTCTATGAATACTTAAAACCTTTAAAACACCTAAGCACACATGGTAACTCTTTAAGACCTTTATTAACAGATGCTTGCAGTTTGACTTGAAAAAATCAGGCGTATATTTCATACAAATTAAAAATGAGGTTCTTAAAAATCTCAATGTGACCAGATATGAAACAATTTACAAACTTTTAAAGGTATATTGAGAAAAACCAGGCTTTTAAAAAACGCGTTTATCATTTCCAAAAAGAGAATTCTTTAGGTAAAAATAATAAAAACCCCATGCTGCATAGATAATGCAGATAGTTCTAGTAATCTGGTCAACAGCAAAAAGCAAGCACTTAAGGTCTTCAGTTCCAATTCTTTTGTTCATTTCTTATTGCTGGAATTTCATTTTCTTCTTCATTTCTTGAAGTCTTTTCTTTGATGACTAAACTGAAAAAGAGGGAAAAAAAAGGCTGATCAGACAGTTGTCAAAGGGTTACAGGGGTGCTTTGTGTACCAAGGCTCACCTGCAACTCAAAAATTCACCCTAAGCTGCCTGTCACAAGCTCACAGCCCAACCCTCACCAGCTACTTCTCCTTGTCAGCCCCACCCTACACAACCACACCAGCCACCTTTGTAAAGGAACAATGCCAAGGACTCCAAAGAGAGCAGTCAGTCAGCTTAAGCCCAAAGGGATCTCTCCCATCATGGGGAGAGCTGCTTCCACCAGGCTCTGCCAACATATTCAGCCACTGCTCAAAGCACAGAAACTAAACCAAATATTCTCCAATGCTACCAGACAGCAAGAGAAACCAAGGTGACATTGTGATATTCTTCTGAAGCCCATGTTCTAAGAATTCATCCAGGAGGTGTTGACCACAAAAATGAATACCAGGATACAACAAATGTTCACCAAAAGTGCACAGAGATCACTGCAGCACAGTCTGGACAGTGAGTGAATGATCCATCTGCAAGTGGAACATGAAGCAGTAGAGCCCATGCAGATCAAGTCTCCATGCCTCCACAGCTGGGAGAGGCTGCAGCTGCTGCCAACACTGAGCCTTCTCCCAGCCCAACTCCTCTAGCCCCTGTCCAGCCCATCAATATAACCACTCAGACTGCTCCCACTACAGCCTAAATTCTTCTTCCACTTTCCTGCCCTCCAAGTAATATGCAAGGAGCAAGGGACAAAAGGAACGGGATACACACATGGGTGACAAGAAATGCAGAACAAGTAGAGTCCTGGCAATGAAAATATTCCCAAATTAGGAGAACTGTCTCTCAGGAGTCAGCACCAAACAAGCCCCAATCACAGGCAGGTTCCCTTGCAACTAACCCAGCCTCTGGCCCCTGCCCTGCACACAACCCTTCCGAGCCCACATCTCAGCACTGCAACACAGCTCTCACATGCTCTGACAAAACCACCATTTCTACCAGTTTTTCCAGCACTTTGATTAGATAAAAGGCTGCTCGCAAGACACTCCTGCTAATTCTGCATCACCTTTGTAGAAACAGATGCCAACGTCCCAATGCCATTCACCTCTCTGTACAGACTCAGCTCAGGCACTAATGGAGCTATGTAAATCCCAGTATGTGCTTCTCCTGACTATTTTCAAGTCTTTACATCGAATTTCTGGGTGAGCAGAGACTGCCATACACCTCAACTACTGCATGCAGCCAAGATTTTAAGTGTAATAGTATTCCATCAATAACAACTAAAGCTTGTAACTAAGTCCTCCCAATTAGTCAGCATTGATGCAACAAAGCCTCGCAGTCCAGTTCTCCAGACATATCACAGATCAGTTACAGCATGTGTGAGCAAGACGAGGCCAAACATTGTAAGGCACAAATAAAAAGCAACAAAAGAAAAAGTCAGCAAATGGCATCCCCAGGCCCCTGGTCACGCACCCGGATGATGGTAGAGATGTTAAGCCGGTATTTACTCAGCCCCGCCCTGCTCAGCCTCGGGAGCGGACGTGTTCTCAGCTGGTGGTTCGGCTGTCTTCGTCTCTTTGCCATCTTGTGGTTTAGGGTTCTCTGGGCGTCTGCGTCGGTAGTTGAAATTACGGCGGTACCGACGTTGAGGTGGCTGCTGACTTTGGGTTTCATCCCCTTGGTTCTCTTTATCTTCTTCATTTCCATCCTCTCTAGGCTGTCTTTGACGAGGAGGACCCCTGAAAGTCAAGCTAGGCTTTAACTGTGCAGCACCTGAGCATCACCATGTCCTGGCTCTGTTGCTGAACAAGGCTAAAACCAGCAGCTAATCTGCAGCATACCTGCGAAATCTTGGTCTGTAACCCCGGTACATGTTTTGCCTGACTGGTCTGCCGTCTCCTGCACCCTGGTTGTCAGCACCCTGCAAGACATCAGGCCACAGACTGCCTCAGCCCCAGCCAGAAATGTGCTAACTCCACAGCTTGTCACGCTATGAGAAAGGAGCTTGAAAGGTCATCAGTTTAGTCAAGGTGGACAGCAGTTCTACAGAACAGGTGCACACATGATGGAGAATCCTCCACTTAATCATACAAATTGAAATATTCTGGTTTTTAGAAGCTGTAACATGAAGACCTTCAGCTACTTCATTTCACGCTACTGCCAAGCCTTACCAAAATCATCTGGAGTACCTATAAGAAGTGTCAAAAGGTGCATCCCTTCACCCTGCTCCAAAGCAACCAAGCCCATTTAGCATCATATGTCAGGCAAATGTTACCTCCACTATCTCTCCCTGTACGGGAGGGTTGGAGTATTGTGGACGACGCCCGTAGGGCCTACGCATATAGTAAGGTGGGTACCGCCGCCTGCGATAGGGACGGCGTTGCTGGGCTTGGCCTTCTGGTATGTTCTCTGCTCCTTCGTTCTTTTCCCCACTCTCACTGTTCTGGTAGTTCTGCTGATAGTTGCGTGGAGGACCCCTACGACGTGGATATCGTCTGTAATGGTTACGATCTGCTGCGTATTTACTGCCCTGCACTGGAACTCCACCAGGTCCTGTGACATTGGCTGCCTCCGCACCCTAAAGAGTGGAAATAGCATTAGGGAAACGGTCACCATCCCACCAGCTACAGCATAACAGTCTAGTACTGAGCAAAGATTTACATCCACATTGTGAAGAAATTAAAAACCATTCACCTCCTCGGATGTCATCAGGCATCAACTCAAAACCACAGGCACCACACCAAAGCCTGCAACCTGAGTTTTCCATGTGCACTCTGACACCCGAAAGATGTATTTACCTTTTCTCCCTCAACCACATCAAACTCCACGGTCTCTCCATCTCCTACGCTGCGGAGGTACTTCCTGGGGTTATTCTTCTTTATGGCAGTCTAACAACACAACAATGCAGGCACAGCATAAGTATACAAAGGAAGAGTTTTTTTACTTATTTTAAGATTACTAAATACTCAGTTTCTTTATCACAGGAGAAAGATCTGTATTTCTGAAAAATCAACTGAATAATTGGGAAAATCCAGGAAGTCATAAAATGTACTTGTATTATGCTCTGGACTATCTGAAATGTGCAACAGCTTTACCATTAACTGGAAGCACCTGTCAACATGCTGTCTGCTGGCTAAAAAGGCAGTTTGAAAACAAAGAGGAAAACTCTCACACCACACACTGGCTAAAGCACTCCTAATCACAGTTTAAAATTCAACATCACTATGATAGTTATACATTCCTCTGATGCCTATACACCAGTATATCCAGCCCTTCCAATCACTCTCTTGGATTTCCAGCCCTCCATTATTTCCCACACACCACAGGACACAGCAGCTTCTGTGTCCCATACTCTGTAAACATAAAAATGGCCATGTATAAAGAGATCTCCTCCTCCAAGGCTTCCGACACCATAGTTTCTACCACAGGTCTAACCAACTAATCCTAAATCTATTACAGCTGTGTATTGCACAACAAAGATTGGTCTTTTCCAGGTGTCAGCAACAGACAATCCTCTGTATCAGTGGCCACCTGCCAAACAACATTACTAGAAGGGACTCAGTTTTCGGTGCTCTGCAGTACTGGATGACATCTTCAACAGACAAGTTAATGCTCAGTACACACTGTGCTCAGGCATGTTCTGCTTATCAAACGCTTTAACTGAAGGGCAATAGAAGTGCAACAACTTTAATATAAAATACCTGCCACACAATTTGGTTAGATTTCTTCTGCCTAAATTGTACAAAATCAATGGAAAAATATGCCCACAAGTCTCTGTAACTTTAAGGAAAGCCTTATCACAACAAGCAGCCAGTCCTACAGCTTTTTGTGACACCTGAGCTATGTAACAGGGATAGAGAAAAGCACACACAGCTAGACTTCTCAAACAACCTGATTTCTTTCTGATTAGAGCCCTATAACCGTTTAATTGTAAAATATTACACTAAAACAAAGCATTACCAAACTGTTATTTCAGAAACATAGACAGCAACTACATGACAAGTCCTGTAACACAACCAGTAAGTCAATGTCACTTTCAGGTGGCCCTACTTGCCCATCGGGTCTGAAAGCTTCCCCTCGGGGTATGTATTACCTCTCACAAACCAGTGCCTCTAAAAGCTGGTAATTCACACAAAGAACAAGCATGAAGCTGAGAGATGATAAAAACAAAACACTTTCCAGGCATTGTTTTACCCTTCCTTTGTGTTAACATCAGCAGCATATCCCTAACTTGAGACTAAAGAATGACCCATGGATTCCTAAATGCCAGAGTAAAAGCAAGCTCCACTAAGAATTCTCTGTGGGCTGCTTACTAAGGAGATCCTGAGCCAGAAAGGGCAAAAAGCAAATTGCTGATCACAGCCTCTCAATTAGACAAAGAACTAAACCAAAGCAAACCAGCTCCATAAAGTAAGACACAGGTGTAGTGTGCAGTCTTGGTCTATTTTCCAGAGGCTTACCTATTTGCCATACATTACATCTAAGGATACATATCAGTTAAATTGAAAAGCCCATACTAAAATGTTGGTAGACTTTCACTGAAAGCCTAGAGCAATAAAATCTGTAATTCTGCCTAGGGAAAAAAAAAGTTTAATTGGCACTTCATTATTAAGTTCCATTAACTTCTCTCCCTGCTGCAAGCTTTTAATTTATTTCCAGATGTTCACTTAACCACTGTATGAATCCACAAGATGACTGGACTCCAAGCAGTTATCCCCAAGCCCATGCTAGCATCTAGTGCAATTCTCATCACTGTACACCATCAGCCCACTCAGCTGATGTGCAAAACCCCAAAGTGCA